TTTAATTTTTTTCCCTCCCTTAAATATTTTATCGTCTTTAAGTAGACACTAAACAAAATGCTACTTGAAGGGACTTTGTGATTATTTAGTAAGGTGAATAATTTCACCTTTTTTATTTGGTTACTAAAAAAAAAAACCTGTTGCCGTTGAGTCGATTCCGACTCACAGCGACCCTTTAGGACAGAGTAGAACTGCCCCCATAGGCTTTCCAAGGAGAGGACGGTGGATTTGAACCACTGACTTTTTGGTTAGCAGCCAAGCTCTTTGATTGGGTTTTATTTATTGTGAAATCCTTTGTTTAATTTTATGAATGGCTTAACCCCTTACTCCTCCTCCTCCACCCCACACTGGTAAATCTGCCACCCTAGTTGCATGGTCTGCAGAGGTCCCCCCTGTTATCTAAGCAGTTTGAGGCCCTTCACTCTCCCAAATCCCAGGACTTCTCTTTTCTTCCTAGTCTAAATCTCAGCATCCGTCAATACCCAGCAAAAACCCTATTTCCTTCAGGAAACCTTCTCTGACCACCTTTATTTCCAAATATTTTGAAGCCTAAGTTCCAGTGCTTATTTGGGGGAATCAGGTTCTTTGGCCTCAGGAAGCACAGTGTAGTGAAGGAAACAGAGAAAAAGTAAAAACAGGGATAAATACTTACAACCTGTGGGAACACAGAGGAAGTGCCTAACCCAGCAGAATGGGTGAGGAGCCTTTCAAGGCCATTTCTGTACCACATGAGCCTTGAATCCCCAGTTAAATGGGGCACTTCTTAGAGGAGGGTGGGCACACCAGCATGAGAAACATGTTGGCCTGTTCTTTGCCCAGAGGTAGTCAGGTTATGTACTTGTTGGGGCTGCTTGTAAGGATGAGGTGAGATTGCTGACAGGAAGGTGGGTTATGAGCTTGCCCACCTCACACTGTTTTTACCCTTCCTCTGTCTCTGCTTGACTGATACTCTTTTTCTCTCCCAAGATGAAATGTGGCAACTGTGGTGAGATATCAGAGAAGTGGCAGTACATCCGGCTGATGGTAACTGCTCCCCCCACCACTGTGCGCACACACCACCACACGTGTGCCTCTAGCCCCAGTCTCTCTGGTGCTCTGGACCCTGCTTTTTATGGTTTAGGAATGGCAGTCATCGGTGTGAAGCAGTGGGAACAACAGGCAACTTTGGGATGTGGGGCAGAATTCAAAATCTAGGGGAAGCCCTTTCCTCAGGCTCAAGAAACCTCCCCAGGATTCTTGTCCTAGCAAGTCACTCACCCTCTCTGGGTGTGGTCTCTTCACCTGAACACTAAGTGGTGGGATTCGATCTCAGGACCCTTGTGTCTCTTTGACACATAACCAGAGGCTCTGTTTGCCCCTTGGCAGGACAATGTGGCACTTAAAGGAGGCCGTGGCAGCGCCTCTATGGTCCAGAAGTGCAAGCTGTGCTCTCGGGAAAACTCCATCGGTAGGTCAGGCTGTGAATATTAAGCTCTGCCAGGCTGGCCCGTTTTTCTGGTACCAGACCAAAAGCAGGCTCATGCTACCTGTGGGGACCCAGGCCTCAGGTGCTGCAGCCTGTGCAGGGAACACCCTCCTTCCTAGAAGCATACTTGGGCACCTGGGTGGGGCCAGGGTGTGGGCTCAACTTTGTCTTTTCTTTTATGTTTCAGAGATTTTGAGCAGCACCATCAAATCTTACAATGTAAGTTTCCTATTATAGTGGCAGGCATGGTGGAATTAAATCTAAGCTGGGAGGCCTGGTCCTGGAGTTATATCTGCATCAGAGTGACCTGCCATGGGACATTCATTCTCTCATTCACTCAAGCAGCCCTTTATTCACCATACACTGACTGACAGCTTGGTAGAGAAAAGACTTCATAAACAGGCTGTTGCAGTGTCTTCTTACAAGTATTGGGCTGTGGGATCTCAGGGCATCTCTGACCCAGGCTGGCCACTCCGTTTCCACAGCTGAGAGTGCTTGCCTTGTCTACATCTTAAGGGACTAGTAAGTC